TATGTGGTGCATTTAGGATGTCGGTCCTCTTGTGCATGCTGCCACTGTTAAGGTCATCAGACTCACAGTGACTTTCAGCAATCCATTCTATAGGTAATCGTCTTCTTTGGCCTGTCCAAGGAAACCCAAACCTGCAGATGGCGGGCATGCATCCCATCCCCCACCTCCTACTCAGGTGGCCAGCGGGGTGCGCGCCCCCCCAGCACAGGTGGCCACTGGGGGCACACCCCCCCACCCTGCTGCACGGGCGCTTGGAGTGCACGCGGCCCCTCTTGTGCAGGCAGCCGGCGGGTGCCCGCTTCCCCCACTGCCGCCATCCTGGCTCCAAGAATTCTCTCCAGAACAAGTCCACCTTGCGGCAGTGTGGTGGCTTCGCTGTACCAGTCTTGAGGAGGGCCAGTGCCCAGCATCCATCCTGGGTGAGGGAATCCATTCGTTCCGGCTATGGAACATGGAGCTGCAGTGGCTGTGCAGCGCGGCGCAGGCTCTGCGGGGGTGGGGGTGGGGGAGCCACGAGACTCACCATTTCTCCTTGGGAATCCTTGAATTCCTGTTGTTGAGCCTCAATCTTCACTGAGGGCCAGTCATCAACTGTTTAAGTGTTCAATTATCAATAAGCCGAAGTCTGTGGAAGGCCATAATGGCCCTGCTTTAAGTGGTTCACTGCTCCCGCAGCTCACCACGCTGTCTCTGCCTCCGCCGCCATTTTGGATCCAAAATTAATAAAATTTTTAAAAAATGTTTTAAAAGAGCTGTACAGAAAACTTTAAAGGGCCATTTGAAGGGAAGGCAAAGAAAAATATTATAACAAAATGTGCAAAGAGTGGCAATTAGAAAAGAAGAATATATTGTGTATTTTTCAAGCTGAAAGAAATGATGACAAGATCAAGCCTTGACCTGCAATACTGAAAAATTCTGCAAAAAGAGCAAGAGAAGTGTAGATACAGCCACCTCTGGTCCCTGCTTACTCCACAGGGGGTAATCTGTCCCCAGGTAACAGCATCCACAACAAATGATATTGCTTCCTAAATGAATCTGAAAGTTGGACAACAAGAAAAGATGACAGACAGAATAAGAATTGATGCCTTTAAATTGTGATGTTAATAAAGAATATTGAATACCCCTGGACAACCAAAAGAATAAACAAGTCTTGAACGAAGTGTAACCAGGTTGTTCCTTAGAGGCAAGGATGGTGAAACTCTGTCTCACGTACTTTGGCCATATTGTCAAGAGGAGTTAGTCCTCAGAAAAAGATATCTTTTTGGGAAAGGTGGAGGGTCAGAGAAAGAGAGGAAGACCCTCAACAAGGCCAACTGACACAGTGACTATAACAATAGGCTCAGGCATGAAGGAGATCATGAGAGTGGCGTAGGGTAAGATAAAGTTCAGATCTGTTGCTTATCGAGTCACTATGAGTTGTAGCCTACATAACAGCATATAACAACAACTATGGTACTGACTGAGAAGCAACGATGTCAATATAAAGACTAAGGTGTGCCTGATCCGGTCCACAGTCTTTGCAATTATTTGCTAGGCATCAAAGAGCTGGATAATGACTAATGATGATAGGAGAGAATTGATGCTTTTAAGTTGTGGTGCTGGAGAAGAGTCTTGAACATCCTATGGACCAAGAAAACAATTAGTGAGAGGGTGAAAACAAGTTTCTCCTTGGAGGCTAGAACTTTGAAGCTCTGTCTCATACTTTGGGCATGTGGCCAGGAAGGACCAGTCCTTGGAGAAGGACATTCTGCTCAGAAGGGTGGAGGAACAGCACAGGAGAGGAAAACTCCAGATGAGATGGATTGATACAGTAACTAGAGCAATGGAGGTAGGTGTGTCAGAGTCAGTGAGACTGGCTTAGAGCAAGGCAGGCTTCAGAGCTGTTGTACATAGGGAGGCTGTAAGTCACAGATGACTCGATGGCACATAATAACAACAACAGCAACACATAATACTGAACAACGTTCTTGTTTTATTTATAGGGTTTTTGAAGACTTATTATGTCTGAAGTGGGTGACCAGTCCTGCTTCTTAGTCTACCTTAGATGTGAGCCAGGTCACAGAGCACATCCTCTGGTTTAGGAGTACATTGAGGGATGTATAACATATAGCCTATAGGGCAGAGTTTCTTCTGGCCTCAGGGAAGCCTAGGCTAGCCTGCCTGGCTAGAGATCACATCTTTGTAAGTCCAGGGGATCATTAGAGGCAGGGTACCCAGTCAGAGATGGCTAGTGTGGCGAGACAGTCACTGCCAACCTGAAACATCTAAGGATGAAGCATTCTGCAAAGAATGCAACATTCCAACCATGGAGTGTGCCACCCAAGTGTGAAAGTAAAGGGTCCTACCAGAGGTGATGCACCCACTAAGGCAGGGCTGACTGAAAACCACAGATGAAGGCCTGGATGTGCTCACTACGCCAAGAAATTTGGAAGATAGCCAGAAGGCCTACCAATTGTAAGAGATCTAGATTTGTTCCCATTTTTAAAAAGTGATCCAGCAGAGTGTAGAAGTTACCTAACAATATCATTAATATTACAAGCATGTAAAATCTTGCTTAATATTAATAAAAAACAACTGGTGTTCCAGTACATCTTTAGGGAACTTCCAGAAATTCAAGCTGGAAGAAGAGGCTATGAATGAGAGGTATCACCGCTAATGTCAGATGGTTCTTTGTTGGACTTATGTGAATCCTATACATAAACCAAGAAGCAGTTGTCCAAACAGAACAAAGAAATTCTGAATGGTTTAAAATCAAGAAAGGTATGCATCAGAGTTGTATCTTTTCTCATATCTATTCAATCTGTATGCTGGACAAATAACCTGAAAAGCTGGGCTATATAAAGAAGAATGTGGCATCAAGATTGGAGGATAATTAATGAAAACCTGCATTATGCAGATGACAAAGCCTTACTTGTAGGAAGTGAAGAAGACTTGAAGCACTTGCTGCCAAAGATCAAAGACTTCAATATGAATTACACCTCAATATCAAGAAAACAAAAACCCTCTTCTTTACAGTCCAGTATGACCATATGACTAAGTTCTGATTGATGATGCCCAAAGAAGACTACATTCTTACCAATGAGTTATACCCAAAGAAGTATGGAACTCCTGAGAAACCTCTGAAGAGGAGGAGGAGGGAGAGCTGCTTCTTCCTTTGTTCTCCTGCCCAGGAGCATGGACAGATCTTGGATCACGAGGACTAGAGCCAACCTAGAGTTGTTTGTTGTCGTCAATGCATGTCATCAAGTTTGATCTGACTCATAGCTGACCATCCAGTGGATTTTCAGAGGCAGTAAATCGCACAGGAGGATATTGCCTATTCTTCTCCCGTGGAGGTAACTGTTGGATTTGAACCATATACCTTTAGGATTTCAGAGGGTTTCTTACTACTGGGCCACGCGAGCTCATCCTAGAGTTAGGAAAGCAGAAAGCTAGAAGGAAAGTGGGTCTCTAAGGGCTTTCTTGAATTGCCAAAAAGTAGTCCTGGCCTTCTCTGGATTGCATACCTCTAGAATGTTTACATGCTCAGTTGTTGTGTACCATCAAGTTGGAGCTGACCTGCTAGCAGGTTTTCAGAGGGGATAAATCACACAGGAGGAGATTGCCCATCTTTTCCTACAGAGTAACTGGTAGATTCAAACGATGTACCTTTGCTCCCTAAAAGACATTGCTATTTTGGATTGTCTTCTTCTGTGCAGCTGAATCCACTCCTTATTGGCTGATGACTTCTGCAAATAACAGCTTAATAGGAAATTAAAATTCCTATCTTCAGATTCTCTGATGGCTTAGTGGTAAGGAGTTGTGCACCAGCCCAAAAGCATGAGGTCTGAATTCACCAGTTGCTCTCAAAAAAGGTAGGCAATCTTCTGCAAACTAACTGTCTCACACACATTTATGGCTGAGTTGGTTCTGACTCGACAGTACACAACAACAATAATCTTCAGATTTTGATAGTTTTTTAACATACTATTTAAATGTTATTTAAATACTATTTAAATTTTAAATACTATTTAAAATGAAACTAAAATCATGTAAGGGGCAGAGAAGAGTGGCAATATCACAAAAGCAAGTCATTAATTGGCCCATTCTTCATCTTCCATTGCCCCAACCCATCTATCATTTATTCTCCCTACAATCTTATTGTATCCTTGAAGTATCCTTCAAGTGAGAGAAGTTTGAATAATGATTATCTATGACTGAAAGGGGACTTCTAAGACAAAACAAAACAAAAAAAAACAAGGCCTATGTTTTTATCTAGTTAGTGGTTGTTGTTGCTGTTGTTCCTGTTGAGTCAGAACTGACTCAGAGCTGACCCTTTTGACCTTCCAGTGTATTTTCAGAGGCAGTAAACCGCATGCGAGGAGATTGTCCAACTATCCTCCTGTGAGGCAGCTGGCTGATTTAAAGTGCATTCCTTTGGGTTAGCAGCTCAGCTCCTTACCACTAAACCACCAGAGCTTCTTAGATAGTGGCTATAAAGATGAGTATGTATGTTCACTTTATTCACTGTTGGTGGGAGTGTCAAATGGTGCAACCACTGTGGAAGGCATTTTCTCAAAAAGCTGGAAATAGAAATACCATTTGACCCAGCAATTCCACTACTGGGAATATACCCTAAAGAAACCATAACAGCCACGCAAGCAGGTATCTGCACACCCATGTTTATTGCAGCTTTGTTCACAATAGCAAGGAGCTGGAAACAAGCCAAGTGACCATCAACAAATGAATGGTTAGAGAAGCTCTGGTATAGTCACACAATGGAATACTATGCAACATTGAAAAAAACAAGGAACTCATGAAAGATTACACAAAATGGGTGACCCTGGAGGACATTATGCTGAGTGAAATATCTCAGTCGCAAAAGGACAAATATTACATAGGGCCACTGTTGTAAAATGGGACTGACATCAGGGGTCAGGGAAGATAGAGAATGAGGGTGGGGGGAATGATATGTATACTGCATTGATACAGATGAGGGAGAGAACTATTTAAAAGAGATATATGATTGGATATTATTGTCATGACAGGAGTCCAGAATGAAGGCTGCACAGTGGAGTGGACTTGGGGGGAGGGACTGCACAACAATGAAAAATTTACTTTTACTTTTCAAGGAGAGGAGCGAATGGGGGGTGGGGGTAGACAGGGAGAAAAGTGCAACAATGAATGAATGAAAACCCTAAGTCTGTAAACTTTCATTAAAATTTAAAAAAATTATATTGTATATTCAATATCCTTCAAGCTGTACGCCTGACTTTATAGTATGCATATTACACCTCAGTAAAAATGATTTCTAAAAACACCCTCTAAAATGCCACAC